AGGTGGCTCCTTCCTTCTTTTCCTCCTTAGCCCCTGCCAGAAAAGATGCTCTCCATCATTTCCAGACTATAAGAACCTGTGCACGAAATAATGTACAGCGGATAAATTCCTGTTCTATTTATTCTGCAAGGTCTATTTCAAAAATGTGTTGGCTTGGGCTGGTGGTCAATTGTTTATTTATTTAGTAGCCCATGGGCCTGTAGGGTCTGATAGTTACCCCTTCCTATTTTTATAAATAATCATATACTTGTACCTGTTGGAACAGACAGAAGGGATCAGCATTTATTTCTATTGTCTAAGCGTGCGAGAATGTATTTTGCTTATCACGTTTCCTGAAATGATGAAAAGAATTGCATGCATCCTCATCAGATCAAACTAATGATTCCACTGGGATTCCACTGGGCAAGAAATGAATATGCAACTTACTTTCCATAATTAAATAATCAACATATCTCAAAGGGGTTCTCACATTTGGTGGCACTGCAATCACCATGGGTTTGCATGGACAAAGAAGAACCCTGTCAAAACGTATTCCTGCTTTGTTTGCATAAACCTGCAGATGGCTTACACAAGCGAAATGAAAAACAAAATCCCAAATAGGTTTTGACAGTACTCCCATTTTGCTTGGGCAAAGACATATATATATATTTTCCCACCTAAATTCTTGTGACTGCCTTGCCCCCCCCCCCCCGGCCCAGGCTTTCATCCCCCATGAAAATCCCTGATATAAATGAAAGAGAATTTAACCGGGCTGTGGAAGAGGTGGGGGGGGGGAGCATAGCTTAGAATAACAACAACAACAACAAAAAAGATTTTTTTAAAAGATAACCAGAGCCATTATTTCTTAAGTACAGCAAGTTCAGGACTTGTTTCAAGTAGTCTCAACTCAATCCTTGGAACAAAGGCAAGATAACTTGTATTATTTTTTAATAACAGTGGTTACTCAACCGTACTGACAATCTGAGATTTGCTTCCTCATAGCTCAATCCTCTTGTGTATTTATTTATTTGTAGCAAAAAGAGCTCTGCTTACTGGGTTTGCATTGCAACAAATTTGTGTTTATATGAGTACAACAAATCTTTGTGTATGAACACACAGGCAAGTGGGTCCCTAAAGACAGATCAAGTTCCCTGATGTTAGTGCCAGAGGGCACATCTTATCTCATCCATACATTCATTCTCATTCCAAGCAGACAAAAGTAAAAGCAGATGGTTGATCTAGGCTCATCTAGGATCCATCCAATAATTAAAGTGAAACAACAATTTGTTGGAAATTAATAACTGCTTTCTACTGAATAAGCTACGAAAAACTCCATTCACTTCCTTCTGAATAGCCATTATGGAACAAAAACATCTGTAAATCAAATTACTCTAACCTAATATAAACAACTCTAATATAAACAAATAAACCAAAATTATAAAATATTCCATTTATTAATCAAGGTCTATTTCAATAATATGTAGGCTGGGAATGATAGTCAATAATCTATTTATTTTGTAGCATAATTTCTCTGGTACACTTGGGGAGTGTCCTATGGCTTTGGGACTATGTGGCAAGAATGGGGTAGTGATGGGGGACAGAAAGCCTTTTCCAGGTGAACAAAGTAAGTTAAAAGTTCCTTTTTCTGCACCCCATTGCAGCTGTATTTAATGCAATGGGGTGTGAGAGGACCTTTGAGTCTGTGTTGATTCCTGGTGAATGCCTGGATGAATCTCTGTAGCTTTCCTGGGAGTGGTTTGTCTTTGCCTACTTCCCAGGGCTGAAAGAGAGAGGAAGTGGCCCAAAGTCATTCAACTTTGTGCTGAAGGTGGGTTTCTAGCCTTAATCACTACACCAAACTAGCTCTTAAATGCAATGCAGGTAAGGAGACCATTAAATGCTTTGTGACGTCTGCTGGCTAGGCATTATTTGTTTGGATGAAGCATTTCTCCATTCTTAAAAAAATGTCAATGGTCAAGGTCTCTCAACTTCAAATTCACATGGGCAGCAGCAATAACAATAGCACTTAGACTTATATACTGCTTCTAAGCAGTTTACAGAGTCAGCCTATTGCCCCCAACAAACTGGGTCCTCATTTTACCAAACTCAGAAGGATAGAAGGCTGATTAAGCTTGGTGAGATTTGAACTGCCAATTTGCAGTCAGCCGGCAGTCAGCAGAAGTAGCCTGCAGTACTGCATTCTAACCACTGCACCACCTTGGCTCTTAGTAGGCTTTTTGGAGGATGTGATCTATTGATTGATTGATTAAATTATATGCCACCCTTTTCCGGAGACTCAGGGAGGCTTACAATGCGTTAAGCAATAGCCTTCATACTTTTGTATATACCTGCTTAGTAGGGCTTTGCCCCCCCCCCCCGCGGTGTTCTTTTTTATACAAAGTCAGCTGATTGCCCCCACAAACCAGGTCCTCATTTTACCTACCTCGAAAGGATGGAAGGCTGAATCAACCTTGAGCCTGGTGAGATTTGAACTTGCAATAATTGCAGGCAGCTGGTGTTACTTAACAGTGCTTTAGTCTGCTGCGCCACCAAGGCTCTATTATCAGGTGTAGCAAAAGAAGACTAAGTACTACTGAGTTGATGCTCTTTATCTGTCTTTGAGTCCATGGGGGAAAAAAAATACCTGCATGATATTTATTTCCACCAGACCAATCATGTCTCTTCTGTCTCTTTCCCCAGTTATTGCTAATCATCTAACTTCTCCCCACTACAAGAAGTTGCAAAAACAAATAGATTCTCCACATTTTAATGCTGAACTTGGATGGCATTGGAGTATGGGGGAAATTCTTTTTAAATATGTAATGTAGAAGACAACTTAATGTGGCTAATGTAGCAGAAGACAACTCATGACCTGGGGATGAGATGAAGGCAAGGTCATGGGAACAGGGCAGGAAAATGCCTGGTTATTTTGTGCTGTGGTTAGACACAAATGAAGAAAGTCTGTGTGACTGGAGCAAATGATATTCTGAAGGACTAATGGTAGCAACTCAGCCCTTATGCGAGCAGATACCCAAATGCTGAGAGATTACTAATATGGCATGCAGAGACAAGCTGCATGCGGTCAGCCATGCTGCTGTCCATGGTGCTGAAGTAACATTAACTCAGCATTGGGTTCCTCAACTCCTTCTAGCAGATGGTGGGATTTAATAATTCACTAGGGAAATGCGTGCTGCTCCAATGTTGCTTTTGATTAGGTATGGCTAGTCTACATCCCTATCTATTGCCCCCCCACACTACCACAGGTTGGGTATATAACCCCTTTGTAGCCTCAGAATTCTTCAATCTGCTGTTCTAATTAATCAGAATAGAGTAGACCTATGTACACATTTAATGAAACAGCAAAAGAGATGTGTGATGTAATCATGAATTTGAAAGGACTATGTGCTCAAATATTGAAAATGGATGCGGATCTCTAATCCAGATCCCAGTTACCATTATTTCCCAAGACTTTTAAGGTGCAGGGGTGTAATATGATTTACAAATTTGAGAAAAACCTGACATTTTCATGAAATGTGTGCCTTGGATCTCTGTTCCTTTTACTAAATCAAAATCCTGAAGTGCCTGAGAGTTTTACAATCTATATATAAAGATAAAATTTGATTTTGCATATGTATCTTTTAATTAACGGATATTCCCCCCTCTCCACCCCAAATGGGCAAATTGATTTGTTGCTGCAACCATAGAAACGGCATAAATGAAGATTAATTTATAATGGAGTCCAATTAAAATACCGTGAAATCATTGAAAAAAAAAATAACGAAATCCGCGTCCATCCCCGCGCATCGCTTCTCCGGTTTGGTAAACGGCAGGGCAAGAAAAGACGTTTTAGAAACCTCACCGGGAAACTAATTTTGAACGGGGAGGAACCAGCGTATCGCTTTAACCCCTTGTTTGGAATGCAGAAAGTTTTGGATGTATCCAATTAAAAATATTTCGGATATTTTCGTAAATTCCTCCCTCCCATTCAGTAAAACAAAAAACTACCAATACTGTTTACTAGGAAGAAACGCACCTGGGCCGGGAAATCTGCCCTTCCCCCTTTTTAAAGATGGATTGGTGCGGGGGGGGGGCATCAAAATGTAGTTCTTCCAACTCAATTTGACTCAAGCGAATGTATCTGTCCCACTCTTCATTCAGGACACACTGCTCTCTTCAGACGGTCTGCCACCCTCCGCGTAGTTGCTTGGGAGTAAATCCTGCCGATCAAAGTGGGTCTTACTTCTGAGTAAGCGTACATCAATGATGGTGCTAAAAATGCGCAAAAGCTTGGAGGACTAGGAGGGCCAAATTCCGCTTTAATACGTCTCCCCACTCCCCGACCCCGGTACTTTGGACCATTTCAACCCCAGGCGAGCAGCCCTCATCCTCGGCGCCGCCACTCCACTTGTAGATGGCGTTCTTCTCGGCGCGGGAACGCCCAAGCCATCAAAGCCCGCTACGCACCCGCCAAGGAAACCTGAAATCTCCGTGCAGGGCAAACGCGGACCTCTCTGTCCCGAACTTACTCCTGCCAAGCATGTCGAGGAGGGCAGGCCCTGCGTACCTGAGAATCTGTATCTTGGTTTGCGCCACTAGTCTCCTTCGCTCGGACTCACACCCGCCCATTTCCTCCCGCCCCCCATTTCCCCCGCAAGTAACGGTGCGTTTTCCTAGTTCTGGCGCAACTTTTGCGGGATGTTGTTACTGCTAATGATATTTTTTTTCTTTTCAAGAAAAAAAGAAAAGAACCAATAATACATCAATACAAAGGAAAGAAAGTTCACAGCGGGCAGAAAGCGTCTGGGCGCCCGTCGTCATTTGCAGCTAAGAGGCTTGCAGGGGGCGAGCCAGTAGGCATGCCCAGACTGCACGGCTCTTCGGCGGCAGAGCCCGGATTCCAACCTGGGCTGCAGCTCCGGCTGCCGACTGGCCGCCGATCGCGCCGCCTCCCGTCGCGGAACGCTCGCTCGCTCGCTGGCCTGCGCGCGCTGCCTCGCCGCCTTTTGCCCCGCCGGACTGCGCGTGGCGCTGGCGGAGCGTGGCGGGGTGGCTGGGGCGTCCCGGAGCCCGGTGCGACTGGCTTCCTTTAAACGGGAATCGGGTGGAACGCGCGTGGCGGAGAGGCAGGCAGGTCGATCCTAAGGAAGATCTGGCCTCAAAGCCCGCTTCCCCCCCCCCCCAGGGCTGAGTCCAAAGCCGAGCAGCCTGACCTCGCGGGACTGCGGGCAGATCGACCGCAGGGGGAGCTCATCTCCCTGCCGGAGGAGGCGGGAAGAGGAACGGGCTACAGGAGCGTCGGGGAGGAAAACGTGAGTATGGAACCGTTCCCTTGCGGGAAACTCAAGTAGGATCTAAGCCGGGCGAGCCTGCGCGAGGCTCCACCAACATTTGGCCCCCTTTCCCGCCGTTGCAGTCTGGACGGAAGGAATCTTACCTGGGAGCAGGTTCCCCGCACCCCACCCCCCGGTAAAGAACGGGACTTATTTAAAATAGACATGTTTAGGACCTCGCGCTTGGCTTCTTTCTTTCTAGCCCTAAATGGAAGACATAAGTACTTCGTTAGTTAGCCCCGGCATAGGGCAAAGTATCTATTTGCAATTATTATTATTTTGCATGCGAATATTCCGAAGGAAAGCTTGGCATGTTTTCCTGGAGGCAGAAATAACCCTAGGAGAAAATGGTCTGAGGCAGGAGTCCCGGTGTAGTGTACTTTAGCTGGCGGAAGAGACGTGCGAGCTCTGCGCGTGTGTTCCACCGCGATGTAAATATATTCGTTCCCATCTCTTCCAAAGCCACCCTATCTAATTTGGGAAGAAACGAGAAGGGGGGGGGGGGGGGGGGGGTTAAAAAAAAAAAAAAAGAGAGAGAGAGAGAGAGAGAGAAATAGGAGACGCTTGGCACGCTCTTTATTTATTTATTTTAATTTATTTGCTTCCACCGCGAGTTCTCCCCGTTAGCTTGGAAAGCAACGGAAAGAGGGAGGGAAGAGCGAGCGACCCGCGCGGTAGGCGAGGGAAGAACGACCCCTGCAGTTGCATTGCGGAAAAATCTCCTTTCCGTTGCTGGGAATTAGCGGGGAGCCTGAGCTGGTTGGTATTTTTATATATATATATATATATATTATTATTTTTGGCAGGAGACCCGGGTTTGGGTATTTCGTCCTCTCCTCTCCTCTGTAGGTGTAGGTGAAACGCGGTGCAAGAAACCTGGCGCCCGATGTCTTAATCTCTTTCTCATCCTTTTTGTAGCGAGCTTGAAGAAAAAAAGGAACGTCGGGACGGCGCGGCTGGCGCGGGCGATGCCTCGCTGAGGTGTGCAGAGTTTGGGGGAAAAACTTGGCGACCCGGTCCCCGAGAATCGAGACTTTCCGGAGCTGGGAACTGCCGGTCCCTTGGTTTTTTTTGTCTATGTCTTGTTGGGAGACCTGGTGGATATTTCTTGCTTTCCTGAAGGAAGAAGCAGCTGGTGTTGGCGGTTGCCTCCTTAGTCTTTGGCGGACGGCAAAGGAAGAAAAGGGATCTGGCTTGAGCTGCACAGCGAAGAGAGAGCCTGGACATGTGTCAGCACATCTGGGGGATAGAGGCTGCGAGTCCAAAAGGAGATTTTCTGGGATTGTTCAAACGGCAGTATTGATCTTTGCTGTGTTTTTTCACCGAGGGATGCACTTGGCATGAGAATCGGAGGATGGAAATTGTTTGGGAGGTGCTTTTTCTTCTGCAAGCCAATTTCATTGTCTGCATTTCAGGTATGCCAGCAAAAACAGAGCAAAACTGGAGGAGAAACCCTTGCCTTGCTTTGCCCTCTCTGGTTTGCCTCTCTTCCTTTTCCCATTTAGCTGTGAGGGCAAAAAGTGGATGTGTTGAGAAAGGGACGGTGGCGGTTTAATTTCCAAAGTGTGTGTGAATGGCTTCAGCAGATCCCAGGGTTGCCTTTTCCCATTCCCAGTTGTTTGGAAAACTGTGTGATGCAGCTGTCGTCCCGTAGGGTTCGAGATCAATGAAATGTTTTCCCTCCCCCTTCAAACTATGGTTTCTATTTTATTGGGAGGATGTCCTAGGGACAATAAAGGAGTGCTGGGTTTCCTTAAAAGTTGTCCAACTTCGAGTTCATTTTTTTTTCTAAAAAGATTTTTGCCAACGCTGTGGTTTAGAAACTGGAGGTGTTGTACCTCTATCCCCCACCCACGAATGTTTTACTCCAGAGAGCTTCCACTCCTGTTGCCTTACCTGGAAATTCCGATCTGGTGCTCCTTGCTTCCTGATATTTCCCTCTCCTCGTTTTTTTGGCTGAAGGCAGGTGATTCCACTTGTCAAAAGGGATCCTGTCCAATTAACAGAGAAGGTCTAGCTTGGCGTCAGGCTTTAAGGATTAGGGCAATTTATTTTCGGGGTGGTGGGGGGGAAAGCTCACTCTTCTAGTTCAAAAGCCTTGACTGCTTAGTTAATTTGTCACGTCGTTCTTGCTGGAATAATTATGTTGCAGTCAGAGAGCAAGAAAGAAAGGATGCAGCTGATACCTTTGGAATTTGAGGCACTTCCCTTCTCTCTCCCCCCCCCCCGCCCAAAAAAATAAAGAAAATCTGATTGCTACTTCCATTCCTTATCGGCAGGCATTTTAAAACAGATGACCAGAAGGAGAGAGATGCAAACAACCCTGGCCATAGGGATCAAAAGGGAAAGATTGGGGGGAATAGGGAGGATATCTGTGCCAACCCACCCAAAACCCAGGTCCTCTTCCTGCCCCCCACCAAGCACCCCCACCAAGCACCCACCCTGAGGTTCTTGACTTAAGCTGAAAGTCCTTTTCTCACTGCACTGGCAGCATTAACATTTAATTGCAGACCTGCCATCCATTTTGGAGCAAGGCATCCTCTGTGCTCTGACAGCCTTTCAGCTTCCATCACTTTGGCTGTTTCCTTATCTGAAGAGAGGTGCTTGTCTTGTTCTGCCCCGTGGGCTCCACTGTTCCTTTGAGTGATGTCATCTGAGGCAATCTCTTTAACACATCTCCCTTGCCTCGTGGACCACACTCCTGCAGTGTTGCCTGTTTATTGGTCTGGGATTCTTGCATCAGAGCCTCAATGTCCCTCTTTAACTCTTGCATTGGAAGGACATCTCATCACCATAAGCCACCTCTGGAAACTGCTTTCCGGACTCCCACGTTCCTCAAGAGCAATTTCATTTCTCGGGCACAAGTTCTGCAATAGGTGAGAGGGCCAGAAGACAGGTCTCTGCTGCCTTTGTGAGGAACCTCAAATAGCAGCTCTCACCTGTTTTCCTGTCCCTCTTACCTATCTTCATTTAACCCATTCCTCCACCGTTGACTTACGTCATCTAAGAAGAACGCTTGTCCTTCTTAGTGTTATAGTGGCACAAGAATGGTTGGATGACTCTAAACAAATGTCAAAAGTCACAAGAGGGGACCCCACATTAAAAGGGTGCAGAAGGCTATATCCTTTGCGTCTTTCTCATACCCTTATCTTTTCCTAGTCTGTTTCTTCAGTGGCAATCCTGAAAACCTTCTCCAATGTATTCCATTGCTGTTACTGTAAGTGGTATGATATTGATACTGCAGCTAGCATTCCACTGGAACGCCACTGCTATCCGCTAGGGTAGGGTTGTAGGAAGCAACAAAGCTGCTTCTCCAGTCCCCTCAGGGTGTGCTAGGCTTGCCTGCCAGATTTTCAGCTTCTGCTTGGTTTCATTTGCCACTTGCCAGTTGAAGTGCTACCTCCCACTCACTGGACTGAGTAAGCCTGAAATCTCAGGCTTTTTTGCAGAGCTCCGTATACATAGCAGCTCCACCCCAATCCTAACACTGTCCATTGCAGATGGGAATTCTGGGATGCCTGGTGAGCGCTGCTTGTAGTTGGAGGTCACATGCACCCATGAGCTCCACCTGGAGGGCTGACATCAGAGCTTATGCCATGCTGATGATTTTTTCAAGCCAAGGATCAGCTGGCTAGCCTTGCTGTTTAAAGAATACTGTCTAGCCTGGTGGGAATAAGCAGATCCCAGGTGTAAAGAGCTGCAAAGCGTTCTTGTTGCTTTCAGGAGCCAACAGCAGAGGAATATTTTAGGATGTCTCTTTAGGAATCTGTTATCTTTTCCAGGTTGTAAAAACATTAGTTGATACTGTTCTGGGGGGGGGGGAGAGTGAATCTCAGTCTGTTCCTATTCCTTGGCTAAATAGCTTTAAATATTTGGATGCTCGACTCCAGCCAATTTAGCTCCAAATCATCACCACCCCCCTCTTCCCCCTCCCTTCACAGTCTTTTTTTCTTCTTAGCAAACCATATAGGATAATTGTGTACATGTCTTCAGTTGGTAAATTTTATTTCTAAGCAAATTAATAAAACATTTTTTTCCTAATAGAAGATGCTGAATTGATCACGGCTTGTGAAGTCTACCCTACCCTTTTACCACCACCACCCTTTTAAAATAAATAAATAAATAAATAAATAAATAAATAAATATATTGCTATTAGACTTATATTTTCGATGCAGTTTGGGGCACAGTTAGTTAATGAGCAAAGGATTCAAGCACCTAAATAGGTTTCTTAGGATCTTCAATGCTCACAAATTAATCAAATCATTTATTTCAAAATTCTCACACACACACATACGCACATATGGGGGGGGATAAATTTAGTAGAGGGATTTGAGAATAGGGGTCTCAGCTAAGAATGAGGAAACAGTCATTCACATGTTTAAACATTGAAATAAATTGACGTCAAAGTGACATTTTTGTTGTTCCTTCTCTTTGAATGACAGAAACCAAACAAACGATACCACTCACTGCCTTTTGTTGTTATTTGTTTCTCTCTCTGTGGATCTGATTCAATAATAGTGGAAGAATTTATGTTCTTTATCTCAGTAGGTGCACAGATAGATTAGCACACAAGGAGAAGGAGCAGATGAAGCCCTGTTGTAGTTAACAGATGAATAGAGTACAGCAGTCTAGATTCCCTACTGTTTCTTTTCTAGTGTAGTATTAATATCTATAGCAAGAATACATTTTTAAGAGAGCCTAAGAATAGATCTGAATAATCTGGTTGCAATAATAGCTTTCGTTTCAAGAAGCCTTTTTATCTTGGACAATACAATTTTCATTCCATAAAGTGTATCAAATACACCATGGCCGGTTGTCGTTATTAAACTCTTTGTGCTGGTTTCAGTTGATAAACTTGTGGAAATTTTGGGTACACGAGTAACTGTAGCCAAATCACCTGAACCCAGAAGATTTGTGAAATGTATATGGAGGACCAAAGTAATAGCAATGTTATTATTTGGCATTTCCTGGCTATTTAGCATGGCTTATTGATTCCTTTAAATGCTTAGTTATGCTGCATATACATTGTTTTAAAGGATAAATAAACTCTCTCATCTCTCTCTCTCTCTCTCTCTCTCTCTCTCTCTCTCTCTCTCTCTCTGTGTGTGTGTGTGTGTGTGTGTGTGTGTGTGTGTTGCTTGTCCTAGAAGCTTGTCAAGGGGTATGTGTGTGAGAGAGAGGGGGGGAGGGAGGGAGAGGGAGATATATATATATATGCTTGTATTTGTCAAGATTAATTTAGCTTGCAAGCTAATTTACAATTTTCAGCTATTTGAATGCTAGATAGGTTGTTTTTTTTTAATTTCAAGTCATAAAAAGTAGTAATTTTGCATCGCTTTGGGACTAAATGAACACCAGAATAGAATAATGAAAATCGGGAAAGATGAGGCTGGGATGATGACTTGTGTGTTATGAACCCTGTAGAAAACCTGACTTTCTGGGAAATCAATCAACCTCAGAGGAGACTAGGAGGCTATAGGATAACATTGTGAAATGAATGTATTGCCTAGGAAACTGTAAAAAAAAAATGAAATGAAATGATCAGACTCCATCTGGTTACTGATCCTTGAGGACTTCAGATAAGTGTGATAGTCAAAAAAGGTGTATGGGGTATTTTACTGTTGTTCCTTGGCTCAGGTCCTTCTTCCGTATAATAATGCCATAATAAAACATTAATTAGTAGTAACATTCCCAACTTCCTTTCACATAATGGCTGACACATTTGCACAGGCATTTGTTTCACACCAGCCTTTAGTAATGTTTTCATAGTGTTGAAAAAATCAGGTGATCAGGTGTAATGGAAAACATTAACACCTCTTCTTAAATACTGACAATAGCTAGGATGAATATGCCAGGACTTGAGTCATTTTTTGAGTGTTTGTATTGTTTCATTTTGGGGGGGAAAAACCCATATTATGAAACAACAGTTCCTGATTCCTGTATGTCACATTGTTAGCTTTTGTAATGGGGTAGGAAATGTGTTGTAAGCTAGTCAAGTGTAATGAAATTCTATGAAAAATGGATGGATTTCAAAGAGGATTAACAAGCCCTTGAAAAGTTAACTTCTTCTGGGTAATCTCTATCACTTCTTAATATTTGTGATATCATCTGGATTACTTTGCTTCAGAGACATGATGTTAACATGCTCACATTTTTTCTGGCATTTTACATCTTATTGAGCAAATATCTCTACCTAAGGTTTTTTTTTTTTTTTAAAGTCCTTATTAGCAAATTAAATTATCACCAAGTCTGAGTGGAACTGTATCCCCAAGTTTGTTGCAAATAAAGGAGAAAAGGAATACTTGGTTATAAATGAAACACAATTTCTCTGAGTTATCACAGTGGAGTTATTCATAGGTGACATTTAGGTTGTAAACCTTTTGTAAGGTCCTCGGTGTTCTCTGAGCTTGGTTG